CGTCAGGCTGAGAAAGCATTTGCAGTTGGTGTGAGCTCTTCCTGGATAGAACGCCTAGTAAAGAAGGCAGAGGCCAGCATGCAATGCAGGCAAGAAAGCCAGTCAGTGAAGATGTAAATTGAGGAATATACATTCAACCCCCTTCCCACCCCCACCCAGCCTATCTCTCACCCACTGGCTCCTCAGTTTCCATCTTCACTGACTGCCTGTCTTGCATGCAGGCCAGCCTCTGGCTTCTTTACTATTCCTTCCATCTAGGAAGAGCACACGCCAACTGCAGAGGCATCCTCAGCCTGATGAAGGGTATTTAAACCCAAAAGCTTGTTAAGAAGTTTTCCAACTATTTGAGTTGATCTAATAAAAGATTTGCCCAAAGAACCTTGTCAGACTAAGTTATTCACATCTTATAAGGTTTCACATGTGAAATGGCAACAGGACCTTTCATCTCTTTTAACAGCATAGGTGCAATTTGCAATATCAGTTTAAACATTGTTGCAGATATAGTTAGGTATAGTATGTGACAATGAGGACCAACAATATTTATTCTCTTAGGCTAGGGACATAAGTTACACATAAACTGGTATAAGTAATCAGAAACCAATACCACGACAGGAGTTCTGTGCACATAAACCACTTTCAAAGTGGTCAAAACTGGTTTAAGATAAACCTGGATGGCTGTAGTATCAGACTTAACTGATTTAGGTTAAATTGGTTTATTAAACTTCTGTCACAGATGCCCTCCAGATTCAAGTTAACTCACAGTCCTCCAGCATCCCAGGATGCTTTGCACTTCCCCCCCACACCCTTCCTTGCAGAGTGGGTGGGCTAACATTGGTCCAAGCTGTCTGCTTCAGCCGAGTGGGAAGGCGTGCTCTAGTGCCTCCCGGCTTTTGGCTTGGGCCACTAAAGGCATGTGGCTGCATTTCCAGGATCAAAAGTAAATGTCTGTTCACTTTCTTATTGGTTCAGTCTATGGAGCTTAGACTAACCTGCAAAGATTGAATTGATTCAGCCTCGAGTTTGTTGACTCTCTGTACTTAACCTTCATGTCAAAAACATGTCCATTCTTTCAGCAAAAATATAGTGCTTAATAGGGCTGTATGAAGCTTCAGGTGCTGATTCGATTTGGAGGCGATTCAGCCCGATTCGGTGGCCGAATCTCCGAATGTGAATCGAATCAGGGGACCAGTTAAAAGGTCCAGATCAATTCTAAACGCTCCAAATTGATTCAGAAAAGATTTGGAGAGTTTCATTGATTCAGGCAGTGCCCATTGGCTGCAGCAGGGAGCTGGACCCGGCCTCCAAGCTGGTAAGTAGGGGTGGGGGAGGGGAGGCTGGAAGAGGGGGGAGGGACCAT